AAAAGGCGAAAATGATATTTATGCCTAAGGCAATGAAACAATACCTAAAACTTGTTACTTTCATCAGTATGTGGTGTTTTATAATTGCATAAGTGAAATATGAAATAATCAGATTTTATTGGGGATAGAAACAAAGTAAGTTTCACAGCTGAAATCAATTAAATATTAATAGCACTTCCCCATTTTTGGGGTTAAATTTTCAATTTTGACGTTTGACATTATTAACTTGGTGGCGTGGCGGGAATACAGTGTGTGTTTTGAAAGTTGTTAGATTTGAAGTTTTTACAAACGTGCAATTGCTTAATTTATTTATTTACCTTTGTTTAACTAAATTATTGTTATTTCAAAGGCTTTACCAAATGTGTTAATCTCGTGGACATGATATGAAAAGTTGCAACAATTATTGACAATTAGTGATTCATTCTAACTTTTGGCGCCGTCATACAAAAATACTAGTAAAGAAAATTATTCATAATATAGGCTATAAAAAGTGTTTTTTGTTGTTTTCGGCTTTTGATGTGTTGTAATATACTTAAACAGATACTTAACTTTAACAAGTTTAACTCTTGAAATATTATAAAAGCTTACAATCGCTCATTAACTATCAATTAGGGCTGGCCTAATCGAAAAAGTGTTTGGTTAGAAACCTAAGTGGTCTTGATGCCGGACAGGTGCGAAACGCAACCCAAATAATCGTTTTATTTAAAAAAAAAACAAAGCTATCAAAAAATCTAATCCACACTAAGTGTTTTCATTCTGTAGTCCGTTATTTGCAATAACAAGTACTGTTTGTGGATTTATTAGGCATGAATAATAATTAACCAATAGTATGTTTACATACAAAAATTTTACCGTAAGTGTAAATAATTGTATACTATATTGAATTTTGTGCATAATTATTATTCGTGATTATTGTCATTCGTCAGTTTCATTTCAAAACTGCACCACTTTTTCAAAAGTCAATTATCATTTCAATATTTACCCTGCCATTAAAAGTAAAGTTAGTTTCAATTTCGTTGGTAGTTATTGTCATTTCATTATTTGTTACATTCCCCAAGCAACAATAATAATATTGTGTTCTGTGGTGTGTATGCGTTCTGCTACCACTTTTATGACTAAAATGTGGTGAACTAAGATAGTAGTTCATGGCGACATATTGAGCTTACACTCTGTTTTACGTTATGCAAACTTGTGCTGCTATTGTAATTTTGATATCAAGTAGTTTTTTGTTTTTATTATCAATGATATCAAAGCTACAATATTGTTTCTTAAACTTCTATAAAAAAATTATAAAATGCTATTTTATTTTGTTTTTGGAAATAATACCTACATAAAATTGATCTATGTAGGTACCTATATTTGTTTCATAACATTAGTAATATGATAGAGCAATTAGCACAAAAGAGCTACTATATCCTGAACAAATTATGTAGTGGTCAGCTGTCTTTATTATATATTTTGCACTATTATGAGCACTGAACTTGACAAACTTTTTAGAATAATGCATGGGGCACTTCTACCTTTCATTGTACAGTTATCTACTAAATCGTTTGTATATCTTAAGTTCTACAATGCCATGTTTATATGAATGCAAGTAGCAAAATATACTAGATAGCATTAGTGGTATTATTTGCTACATGCGTAGTAAATATAGTTTCATTTTAAATTATGATATTGCATATCTACACTTCACAGAGTGTGTTTCTCACCTAAATTGTGTAGCTCACATAAACTTCATCTTATCGAATAAAATGTGTCTATTGGTATTTTGCCAAATGAGTATCATGCTGCGGACTAAATACATCCTCCACAGTATTTGTGTTTATTTACCTATTCTCAATGAAGATTTACATGAGGCATAAGAATGCTATTTAGAAATTCGTATGATTTTTTACTCTTATATTTTTGTAGGTACTTTTACAGCCCTCTGAACAATATTGTGAAAAGAGAATGTATATATAATTCTTAAATTTTATTATTTTTTCAATTTAGATTTTTTTTATATTTGTCCCCATTGAATGTTACCAATTCATCAATCTCAATTTCACAGTAAATGTGTTGTTCTAGCGACACATATTAAATAAATGCTTTGACATCTTCGAGTGATTCTTGAGGGAACAAGATGTCGATATATTAAGCCGTCCATATTTTGTTATAAAAAAGTAAACAATTGTATATATTTCAGTACACCAAATAAAAAAAACAATTAGATTATCAGTTGTAAATACACTCTCATGATTTTTCAGAAATCACATATAAATATATACACAAGTAATTAGATATAGATATAAAAGTATTGCGTAGACTTAATATTAACATATATGTATATATACATGTTTTATTGTCATTAGTTAATTGAAAGGCTGTTGTCTGCTTTATACCCACCATTATTCAATATTTTTTAATGTATTGTATGTATGTATTTTAATAATCGAAGTTCTGAACATTGAGAGTTTAATTCAGTGACAAAGGAATCTTCTGCACTGTAAAGTTAAATAATTTCAGTCGCTATGCACGACTATAAGCGAAAACGGTAAAACACAGTAGCAGCCGAGGTATACCGCCACCACATAACATTTTAAGATTTACATGGAATAGTGGTATGAAATAGACAGAGCCTGTACAATATTACCTACTTATTCAAATTCATATTCAAATAAAATTGTAGATCTATAACTTAATGAATATATTAAGTATTTAAAAATGAAGTATTTTTAGTGTTTGCGACCCTTTTAATACTAAATATTGGTCTACATCAACATCGAACAATAGATATTTAGCATTCATAAAGCATTAGTGTCAATATTGTGTAACAGCATTATTTTGTCCTTAACAACGTAATGATAACCGTAATAGAACTATTTAATTTGGTTTAAATTTCAACCAAGAATATTTTCAGAAGCAGTGTTACGAAAAATATTTGTAAATAATCGTGAGGCCGTAATGTGAGATTCATTAATCTTTCTCTCGATAGTCCGGTATTTCGTAGGTCAATGCCCCGGTTACACGCGAATCGTTATTGCCGTTAACTATCGAGAAATTTTAAATTAAAACCAGCATCAATTTGAAGTCACTTAAAATGAAACAAGAGAATGTAAATTCGGTTTGCACGCTGATCTTATCCAGCTGCTTACCAACCGTAAATACCAGTATTTTTCATTTATTTATAAAACATTTAAAAGGTAAAGTGCAACAGTAAAAAATACCTTCGTGTACATAGGTACGTATTGTTGCTGACTACAGTTTGCCAGTCTTGACTTCGCTGATAGTTTTTATTAACAAGCAGCAATAAATTTTGGTTCATGTCACTATCTTTCTGAATACTTGAATTAGACTGTCTATTTGATACTAATTAAACTTTCCTAGACATAGATATATTTTTCAAGTAATTTCAAGTAGTTTTCAAGTTGTAAATTTTTATTGTCATTTTCAAATTGAACTAAAAAAAGATATTTTTAATGTTTTAATTGTAGATATGTCTATATATTTATTTATATATATATTATAAAAACTACATAATTATGTCTTAAAATACTTGAAAATTTTCTAGAAATTTGATCTCAAATTCTTAATATAATATAATAAAAAAGACATTATTGTCATTATTACATCGAAGCACACTAATTATTATTATTAGAAAAACTATGTAATGCTTTTTATAATTGCAAAGCACACAACAATAGTTTCATTTTTTTTTAACATTTTAAAATTTATTTTGTATAAAATAAGTAATCAATTATTCTAAATATTATTGTCAATGTTACAATAAGAAGTCATTTATTTTCTTAAATATATGCAATAAAATTATGAATATTAATATATGTTTAAATACGACAGTAAAATCTGGTAACAAGATGTTTTAGTATCAAATATTTAATTAGTTGTGGCAGATGAACAGTTCCACTGTTACTCGTAACAATGTCAATATATTGCTGACATACCGCCATATTAAAAATAAGGTAAAATCACCTGTATCTGCAAAAATACTAACCTACCCTCATTTATTATTTTTGTCAGGTAGTTTAATATTTTGTTCAACATTGAAGTGAGTATTAGTATTTTAATTTCTAGTCACCTTAATGACATTTATGAAAAAGTAGTGAAATTAATTCTGTAAAATAGTTAAAATTCCTGAATCATTTAATACTTATGTTTGATATGGAATTGATAATGTACGTAGATTGACAATATATACCCTTGGATTGTTGTTCATTCCCAAAAATTATATAATATCTATCACAATAGTTTGATGAGTTGATGATGCTGTTTTTTTTAATTTACAAAATTACTAATAATATGAATGAATAGAACTGAATATTTCATTAATTTTGATATTTTTGAACATAGCGAACGTTGAAAGGCTTCACAATGCTGACAACACCACCAACTCTTACAAACCATTCAGTTTTTATCTGACGGCCATATTAAGTAACGTAATTACTAAGACGAATGTCGTGCTTGCAAATGGGCAAATCCTATGAGCTGCGTTGATTCTGGCTTTTTGGTCACCGGGTTTTGGGACAGCGGTACCTGGGTCCACCACGTGGATTTTCCATCCTAGGTTGTTGTGGGTATAGCACTGTGAGGGAAACATTAGTAAATGGTGTGCTTTCGATTAATTGAATTTTTGTTGAAGTAAATTTATAATATACATTCCTTGTTGCTTATAACGAAAGTGCAATGTCTGAGCGATTCATTCGGATTTGTGACGTTTGACTATAACGTTGATCTATGTAAAGGAGCGATGAGCGAACGTACCTGGTAGTACAGCAGGTCGGGCGTCTCGTGCGCGACGGTCCAGACGAGCGTGGCGGGGTCGCCGGGCGCGCACTCCAGCTGCAGGGTGCGCGCGTGCTGCTGGAACGTACCTGGTAGTACAGCAGGTCGGGCGTCTCGTGCGCGACGGTCCAGACGAGCGTGGCGGGGTCGCCGGGCGCGCACTCCAGCTGNTTCATTCCCAAAAATTATATAATATCTATCACATTAGTTTGATGAGTTGATGATGCTGTTTTTTTTTTTAATTTACAAAATTACTAGTAATATGAATTAATAGAACTGAATATTTCATAAATTTTGATATTTTTGAACATAGTGAACATTGAAAGGCTTCACAATGCTGACAACACCACCAACTCTTACAAACCATTCAGTTTTTATCTGACGGCTATATTAAGTAACGTAATTACTAATACGAATGTTGTGCTTGCGACTGGGCAAATCCTATGAGCTGCGTTGATTCTGGCTTTTTGGTCACCGGGTTTTGGGACAGCGGTACCTGGGTCCACCACGTGGATTTTCCATCCTAGGTTGTTGTGGGTATAGCACTGTGAGAGAAACATTAGTAAATGGTGTGCTTTCGATTAATTGGATTTTTGTTGAAGTAAATTTATAATATACATTCCTTGTTGCTTACAACGAAAGTGCAATGTCTGAGCGATTCATTCAGATTTGTGACGTTCGACTGTAACGTTGATCTGACTGTAACGTTGAACCGCGTAAAGGAGCAGTGAGCGGACGTACCTGGTAGTACAGCAGGTCGGGCGTCTCGTGCGCGACGGTCCAGACGAGCGTGGCGGGGTCGCCGGGCGCGCACTCCAGCTGCAGGGTGCGCGCGTGCTGCTGGAACGTACCTGGTAGTACAGCAGGTCGGGCGTCTCGTGCGCGACGGTCCAGACGAGCGTGGCGGGGTCGCCGGGCGCGCACTCCAGCTGCAGGGTGCGCACGTACTGCTCGAAGGTGGGCGACGCGTTGGCCTGGTCGACCGACTTGTGCGTCCACTCGCAGTACCGGCCCACTGCACCGCGCGTGACGTCACATGCAAACACAGGCCACGAAACTAGATAGTTGCGATGTCGAGACGAACTGCTGGTAGAACTACTACAAATATTCTGATTTCGACAAACTACTAGATACATTGTTGCCTGAGTGGGATTTCTCGTCAATCGTCGTAGGAGACTAAAATCTTCAAACCATCGCAGTCTAAGTAGATCCTCCATAGCGGATATCGATAGAATTGCATAGCACCGTTGGCTATACTGATTAACTGTACTGAGACCTTAGAACTTATATCTCAAGGTGGGTGGCGTATTTACGTTGTAGATGTCTATGGGCTCCAGTAACCACTTAACATCAAGTGGGCCGTGAGCTCGTCCACTCATCTAAGCAATAAAAAAAAGCGCGGTACAAGATAAACCCGTGAATACATGAATATTAGTCAAATTTGGAACCTACTCGATGGTAGATGGTAGCACTGGCGGTACTAAAATAAGACGGATGATACCTAAGACTGTATTAAGATTAGCGTCAGATACACAACCCAGATAAATTTTTCATTCCTAATTGAATTCTGACTGAATTGATCAGCAAAAATCTCTACTTTGACTAAAAAAGCCATTCAAAAGCAGTTTCAAATTTAAATATAAAATCTGAATATACCACTAACTGCTCTCGCAGCGACTCTACCTTACTTAACTACAGCGACATTGCTCTTACCGGCCGTCGGGAAAGGATATCCTTCATTATCGTAGGCTACTCCCGCGAACACCCGCTGTTTCCTCTGCTCCTCCTCCTTCTTCTGTCCGAAGCCACCTTCCGATGAATCGCTAATGTAGAACGGATGGTACCTGAAATAATAATAAATATTTCATGACCCCTCCTGCAGTTTTTATAAGTTACGATTTTATAGGTTTATAAATTGAATGTAGAGATCATTTTACTGGTATAGCGTGTTGAAAGCAAACGTTGGTGTCCTGTCTATTTTTGGATTTCTAAAGATTAAGACTAAATAAAACACCCCCAATCTAAATCAACGAAATTTAAAAAAAAACAATATAACCTTAATATGTATATGGGCGAGCACACGGCCTGGCTCACCTAAGCTTTTAAAACTACCCTCATTACTTGAGTAGGTACTCTTGAAGTAGTTGAAAGCCAGAACAAAATAATTGAATTGTGTCTCTTTTATTTTGGGAATTGTTCAGAAGGTCTTACCTCGCTGGATTTGTTCTATCGTCTCCTCCTTCGACATAGAAGGTGTAAGTCTTGCCGCGCTCCACATATATCTCCGGTATGAGCTGGTCATTGATGTACCACGCTATGCCCCATGACGGATGTCCTGAAATTGAAACTCTTTCTAATCCACCGTTCGGTTTGGAACCTCGGAGCCACCGTGCATTCCAGCTTGAATGAGACTGCTTTTTCAAAATAATTGAAACTTGGACCTTTAAGATGCAGAGTATAGGAACACAGTCACCGGGCGTGTTTGATCTTCTGATCTAATGTCCTCACAAACCACGATATAATGATTAAATCTGAATAATGAATGATTAAAACTCAATGGGCCGCCATTGAGTTTTATCTTCTCAGTGGGTCGCAATTCCGATCCGGTGGTAGATTCTACGAAGCACTGCTCTTGCTAAGGGTAGTGTCAGCAAACTCTCTCAGGTTGTGCCCGTGAGCTCATCTACCCGTCTGGACGTAGCTGGAATAGCCCTTAGGCGAATAGCTAGGGGGAAAAAGCTCAAATGGTTTTTTTACTCCTTGAATAATTAGAGCTCGACTGAACACGCAAACACAAACAAATAGGTTAATAATAAAGATATAAGTATTTACCGTAAGGTTGGAATCCATTGGTTATATCATTGTCTGCATGTAAATAATAAATTATAATTATCTGTTCTGATATCAATAATTTAAAGAATGGCGTCTTTCGGTCGGATTATTATTGAATTTACTTTAAAGCATTGATTTAAAGTTTTAAGATTTGATAATAATTACAAAGTCTCGCTTAATATACACACGTTGGTAAATTATAGAATGCAATGTATATTCTTTCTATACAAATAACTATGAAATAAATAAAAAATAGTTTTTCGAATACCCGCAAAATTAAAACTCATAAAATTTAAAGGTGGCTTAAAACAAGGAAGAATATCAGTACCGTGTGTGTTTTAGTAATATTTAATTCCAGTAACAAGTAAGTTCGTACCAGTGATGGGCGTGTAGCCGCGGCGGCCGCCCGCGGGCCCGATGCGCGCCGTGAAGTTGGTGACGCCGGACAGCACGCGCGCCGGCCACGCGCCCGGGCCCAGCTCGTCCAGCTCCGCCAGCCCGATGCACGCGTTGTCGCTCTGTCGGCGAACGCGGCGGTCACTATCGCTACTAAGCACTCCCTCTCCCTCTTGCAAGTCTTATAACGTGTCTGTGTCTGAGGGTGCCCCTGGTATGCCGATGTTACACGAGGCCCAGTCGCGTCATTCCCCAAAAGGTGGTCTATGGGTCGAGAGACACGGGGCCGAGTCGCACTACTTCTTGACATCACCACCGGTAGACAACCGGTGAACAGGAGACTCTGTGAGAAGGATCTCAGGGCGCCACCACTTACCGCTCTGGGAGACTTATACAAATAAAAGACGCGCCACAATACGCCACGTACAATCGCTAGATGGCGTTAATTAAAAAAAAGGTTTAATTAACGAAAATGAAATATTCCGGCGGAATACAGTCTATAAGTGACCGAGTGGACGAGCGACTACATTACCGAAATGCCGGTTCTAACTGATCTTTATTAAATAGTAAAATTATTCTCATATCAATAAGTATATGGACAAATTGTCTATATAATTATTATCCACTGCCAATTTGTATAAACGACGACCAACAGAAGCAGCTCATTGAGTTTCTCGCCGGAACTTCTCAGTCGGTCACGTTTCCGATCCGGCGGTAGATTCAGCGAAGCACTGCTCTTGCTAGGGCTATTGTTAGCAACGAACACAGGTTAGAGCCCCTTGAGATCACCTACTCCCTCTGTTACGCTGGCATAGCCCCTAAAGCTTAGGTTGGCAAAAAAATACTTATATTGAATACGAAAGATAACTCAAAATGAAGGTTGTAAAAAGTGGGGTAGTTGTGTAAGGAGCACCTGCGCGCCGAAGTCCAGCTGGACGTCGTGTCGGGTGGTGTCCATGAAGGAGTGCGCGTTGGCCTCGGAGCGCGAGTTGAGCGGCCCGAAGGCTGCGATGATGGACTGCGACCGAGACGAGAGCACCTCCCTGTCGCGGGAGGGCTCGGCGGCGGCCAGCGGGCGCCGGTACGTTATTGTCGTTACACCATCTCGTTGCCGCCCGGTCACTGGACACGTACATCAAATCAAACTTAGTGTCGTCGTGGCCTAACGGATAAGACGTCCGGTGCATTCGTGTTGAGCGATGCACCGGCGTTCGAATCCCGCAGGCGGGTACCAATTTTTCTAATGAAATACGTACTCAACAAATGTTCATGATTGACTTCCACGCTGAAGGAATAACATCGTGTAATAAAAATGAAACCCGCAAAAAGTATGATTTGCGTAATTACTAGTGGTAGGACCTCTTGTGAGTCCGCACGGGTGGGTGCCACCACCCTGCCTATTTCTGCCGTGAAGCAGTAGTGCGTTTCGGTTTGAAGGGTGGAGCAGCCGTTGTAACTAAACTTGAGACCTTAGAACTTACATCTCAAGGTGGGTGGCGCATTTATGTTGTGGATGTCTATGGGCTCCAGTAACCACTTAACACCAGGTGGGCTGTGAGCTCGTCCACCCATCTAAGCAATAAAAAAAAATCAAATCAAACTATTAGCTAAAACAAGGTTTACAAAGTTGTTGATAGTTATTTTATAGAACAGCATGTTTCTACCAGGTCGGCGTGCAAATATTATTCAAAATGATTTACATTTAATGCGGTCAGTAAATATATTAATTAATAAAAATATCAAACAACAAATAAATTAATTGAATAAGAATTAGTTATTTATGTAATAAAACGAAAACAAAGAACAGAAAGAAGCAAATTTAAAATTAACAATGATTTATCATTTAAATAATCGTTAACCTAATAACATCTTAAGGTTAATAATTTTTTCAAGTTCTTTTTAAATAAAAATAATTTGTCTTTTTTTATAGCATCAGGTAGCTTATTATATATTTTCGGTGCCGTACACAACATATATTTTACTGTATAAATAACGGTTCGTTTACCTAGCACTGCGTCGTTGCTTCCCCCCAGCCGCTGATCGGGACAGACCCCACGCTCCCCGTCGCACTGAGCGAGATGTGTTATTGTGTAGTCCGCCACACGGGGCTGGTTCGCTCTAAAAGTATTCAAGTTTTATTAATAACAAGTTCGTTCAAAGTTTGCAGTGCGCATGGTATATATATATAATAACAGTAATAATAATATTAAAAAGCTGAAGAGCTTGTTTGTTTGAACACGCTAATCTCAGGGGTCCGATTTGAAAAATTCTTTCAGTGTTAGATAGCCCATTTATCGAGGAAGGCTATAGGCTATATAACATTACGCTAAGACCAATACAAGCGGAGCACCAATAAAGAATGTTTCAAAATCGGGGTTTTTTTTCCCCTTTTGAGAGCTTCCGCTGCGTGCACTGCAGAAACGGTTAAAGTTTCGCTAAAATAATGTATGACAAAATTATTCCCCTTTAAAAGATCTAAAAAAAAGTCCGCGGCAGCATATGTGTATGTTAAGGTAGGCTTGCTATAACGTTTTTTATGCTAACCAAATTTGTTCTAAAATAAAGCATTACTTGGGAACTATTCCACGCGGACGAAGTCGCAGGCACAAGCTAGTAACGGTAATAAACAAGAAAAAATTTCGGTTTTATTTTTCTGAAATCTCACTGCTATTTAATAATTTAACATGGATGATGACAGTAAAAGATCACTATATTGACAAAACAGTCGTGATCACGTATACTACGTGTCGCTTTTACTGAGTACTTTAGATACATTCCATCGTCCGGGCTGGCCCAAAGTTTATCTGTTCGACGCGAGTATTAGAATAGGATGATGGATCCGGCAGCTTTTTAACGTTTTATAGCGCCCGGTAAAATATATACACAAATGTAAATCGTAACATTAAAGATCAATTTAATTCGATACCCTAGTCCTCCTTGAATATTATTTTATTGTTCTAGAATAACAAGCCCGAGGTTAGCCTTTGAAGATTTTCAGTGATAAATGAGATTATTATTTCTTTAAGATGTAAGCACTGCTTCTTCAGTATTCATCTAATTATGAGTTTTTCAATGTAAGTTACTTGTTGGATTTTAGGTTTTTCACTTAAATAGACTGTTGATTTTTAGTAATGCAATTACCATCTGAGTGTAAGCAGTACTTTACCTGCTGTCCCAATAAGCAACAACCACATCCGCCCCCAGCATGGCAGGTCTACCTTCAGCCCCAGAAATGCCAAACGCCATATACTGCTCTTTACGCAGACGCGCCGATAACGTAATCTGGACTTGGTCTCCCTAAAATAAATAAAGAATGTCGGTTTTATTATTCATCTTCCCTCCTTGGCATTCCTTCAACGCGATGAGGCGTCCGGAAAAACAGTTTGAAATGAATACTGGACAGCCGTAGCTTGATTGTGCTTTCGAGTGATCAAAAAATAAAAAGCTTAAAAATCTGTCAAATTAACTAAATATTTTTTAAACAAATACATAGTAAAGCTTTTTCATTTACGTAGGCTAAGTGTAAGGGAATTTTAGAATTTCTTGAAAATATTTTACCTGACTCTTTCAACCAGCTAGAATGGAAACCGTGTAAAACAATAATTTAGTAATTAAAAATACGCCCATTTTACAGCTATGAGTCGTTATTTTTTTTCTTCTAAAAGCGTTAGATAAATCTAATATATAAAATTCTCGTGTCACAGTTTTCGTTGCCATACTCCTCCGAAACGGCTCGACCGATTTTCGTGAATCTTAGCGTGCATATCGGTCAGGGTTGAGAATCGAACAACATCTATTTTTCATCCCCCTAAATGTTAAGGGTGGTCCACCCCTAAATTTTATTTGTTATTTTTTAGACGAAAATTTTTGTTTTTATTTTTTTATGATACAGCATACAAAAATACATACAACCCTAAATTTTCACCCTTCTACGACCAACCCTTATTTTTTATTTGCTAATTAAAAACTTTAAAATTTTTTGCGAGAATTTTGTTTTCATTTTGTCATGACGTAGAATAAAAAAATTCATATTACTCTGAAATTTTCACCCCTCTACAATCAACCCCTATTTTTATTTGTTAATTATAAACTTTAATTTTTTTGGCAAGATTTTCATTTTTATTTTTATTTTGTCATGAATTAAAATAAAAAATCTGATGTTACTCTCAATTTTTCATCCCTCTATGATCAACCCTTTTTTTTATTTGTTAATTATAAACTTTAATTTTTTTGGCAAGTTTTTTAATTTGTTTTGTCATGACTTAAAATAAAAAAAATTATATTACTCTCAATTTTCACTCTTATACGATCAACCCCTATTTTTCCATCCCGATTAATTTTTTTTTATTCTATGCACAGATCCGCAATAAGGTCGCAAGATGGCAATCAAATGTTATAATTGTAGTACGATAAATTCTTATTCAGAGTTTATAATTTCAAGTTCCTTTAATTATGATTTTTTTTTAATTGAATTTGTTCTCCCGCCCTCGCCGGTCGACTACTGATCAACTATCAATCGATCAGGTCTCCCCGCCAGGTGTCACCACTCATGCAGCAAACATCACGTAGTAGGGATGAGGACGAAGCCGGTCTCCTGTCTTACTTACTCACTATACATCATAGATTATACAATTAATATAATACTATACATTTTTCAGCCATGTTTTATTTGTGTATCAACAGTATGTTCGGTAGGTCTGAGAATCGGCTACTATCTATTTTTCATACCCCTAAGTGAAAAGGGTTGTCCACCCCAAACATTTATTTTTTATTTTAATTTTTGGATATTTTTTATTGTTCATAATGAGGTATTATGTGGTTAAATGAGGGTTTTTTTCTACAGTAGAATTTCCCTAAAAATCTTATTTAAGGCAACACAACGTTTGCCGGGTCAGCTAGTACATAATAATTATGTCAAAGTGACATTGGCTAAGACTCGAAGTTATTCGTTGGTATCTAGGCGTAACAACGAATACGTTTTCTTTAGTTACAAGTAGTGTAGAATGGCTTCCGCAATACTTTACAAAACAAAGTATATACGGACTAACGAGCTCACGGCCCACCTGGTGTTAAGCGGTTACGGAAGTTCGTAGACATTACAGCGTGAATAACGCCACCCACGACATGAGACATGAGGTTTAGGCATGAGGCACGACTGCTTGCGCTTACTTATAGTATGTACAATTGTAAAATAACCTGCCATAAATAAAAATACATAAAAACATATTTTGTTGAAATCATCGTCACTGCCACAACTTCTAACTATCGGCAACGGGTTCAAACAACTCAAAAATACTGATTTAGCTTCTGTAACAGTTCCCAAACACTGCTTTGATAACAATATATTTCCAGTTTCCACTGCTACCACGTGTGAGCTTGTATTACCAAAAAAAAAAACAATTACGTACCTCTATGTGAGCGAATTAATTTGTCATAAACAATATTTAGACTTACTCTATCAAACTCTATGGCTACCAGTCCTTTTTAATAAATAAAAATCTAAATAAATGGATGTATGTTTTATTTCAAGCAGATGATGACCGGAAAGACATTTTTTCCAAATTACAAGAATTTTAACCCACTGAGTCTCTCGCGAGTCCTTCGCAGTGGGTCGCAATTCCGATCTGGTGATAGATTCTGCGAAGCACTGCTCATCTTAGGGCTAGTGTTAACGAATTCTTTCAGGCTGAGCCCGTGAGCTCACCTACCTGGCCGGAATAACCCCTTCGGCTAACAGCGTATCGGTAGGGAAAAAACAAAAGAATTTTTGCGGGCGAAAGTTTTTTGTACTTTTCTTTCCAGAAACATTAATCGGATTATTACTAACATTTAAAATTAGGGAATTAAGGAAAATGTCACTTATAGGTTATAAGCGGATGACGCTTAGATTACATAGACTTCTTTCGACTAATTTAATTTCTGTTGATAAAACTCTCAAAATACAAAGTAGGTGTACCCTTTGTGATTACTATGAATTCCTATAATTCTGATGTTATTAATGTTTTGCACGAATTTCTATGTTCCTGAACGTCTGATGAGCACATGATATTATCTGTGGATGAATACCAATAGACAACGGCGTAATGTTAATAAATACTGACTTGTATTTCCCAGCGCACTTGCAGCCTTTTGTCGAGTATCTCCTTGCAGTTGTTGGTGGCGCTGTGCGGCGTTTTCGAAGTTGTCGAACTCGTCTGAAACACAAGTTCTTACAGTTAACACAATCTCCCTTATTCCGAAATATTAGTACTGAAAATTACACACGCCCTTACATTATTTGAATGCGTTAGTTATTTAAGCTGAATCAATGTGATATTTTCATTAAAAATGGAATAGAAACCTTGGCGATGTAAAATATGTACAAATAAATAAATATAATAATGTTCTGATTATATCTGCTATTTAAATCCTAACTATAAATATATGCTTTTCTACACAAACTCAAGTACAATCCTGTAAGTAACATTGTCGGTGTATTAGACAACAACTTGCGTAACAAATGCTATTTTTTTTATTTGTAAATGGTTGACAGTGACATTTTTAGGTAAACCACTCACCATCCAAAATATTATTATGCAGTTACATATGCTACATATGTAACTGCATAATGAGTGAGAGTTTTAACTATGGATGTAGAAGGCTTTATGGAACCTTTAAGGTAGACCTAAGAAGATATTGATGGATTGCGTTCATTCATGGGCAGTGAACTTAGGCTCTGACGTGAAGCGATTTGAAATAAACAATTTGTCTGATATCGGTTTTAAGCAATCATATAGTCCATCTTAGTGTTAATTAAATAACAATAAAAAATGTAATGCGATATCATTAATTATTATAAACATTATTGTTTAAGGGTCTCATCAGTAGAAATCACCGATTCCCAGTGGCAACTCCGTAAAGCCGACTGGGAAAAGATAGATTTGTCTTCTCCTGACATCCTACCCGCAGTCTTCAGTCTACCTTCGTAATAAGTGTATTGTCTATGGCCTATCCGTGATCCCGGCGCTTGCAGCACGCCGAAGTATCGGGAAATCATTGTAATTATATATAGTGAGGAGAACCCGTCAAATAATAACGTTTATAAAATATTTTCTGTTAAATATACAAAATTACCTATAGTCATTTTTCAGTACAGCCTGCTTTAAAACAAATGTATGCATGAAGTATTAATATATTGTTAGAAACTTTACATGTTTAATGAACATTTAAACATTAATACAAGTGATGATCTTTTCTTAATACACTAAGTACTAAATTAATTTGTCGTTATGGCTAAATAAGTCCTGTGTGCTTAGTGCGAGTTTCTTAGCGTTCTCGATAGCGTAAAAGTTAAGCCAATTTTGTATGCAGTTGGAACAGCGCCCCTAGCGGCAAACGTACCCAAACCATCCCATTCTATACAAATATGAGCTAACTTTTACGCTATCGAGCACGTTAAAAAACCGCCCTAAGCATACCGGTATCCCTATGAATCAATTAAGCGCGCCAATGTGAACCTTTAAAATCCATTACAAGTGATTTGATTTATGTTTAGTTCTTAATAAATACGGTTAAATGCTGTGGTTAAATGTTATTAAATCATTCTTCAGTACTTACTTTAAAATAACAATAAACTTTTCTTTAAATTAAGGATATTGTATCATTAGTAAAGGGAAGCGAACGAGGACACAATGCGTGCAGTGAATACGATAGGGATCTACTAGTCATAAATACCGGCACGCGAGTTTGTAAAGTTAAAATGAAACTATAGGATATTTATGATAGGTATTGATTCGACCAAGAATTTGTCTTTTATGTCGAGTAATTTGAACTTTTCAAGGATATTATCACTATCGGCAGGTAAAACATGCCTTTTTTCGTTCATAATTAAAATAATGCTGTAAATATATCTTGACAATTTCAGACGTTAAACACTTTTTCGCCTACCAGACATAATGTAGTTGCGAGAAATTTATTGGAACGAAGTTCCTTATCGCGCGTTGTGAAAGGGGGCTAGACGGAAAAAATTCTTACGAAAAGTTGTCACGACACTTTTTAGATCCGTCATTCTCACCAATCAACGTGTAGGCGCTTATCGCGTGACATTGCTTGTATCCGATTGGTCCGCGTAATGAGTACAGTTTCTCGAGATAGCGTTTCAACAATAGTAAGTTAGTTCATAGTATTGTTTTTTTCTTCTTCATAATGCCGTAATTTATTATTATAACTTAAAAAAAAATTACAATTCCTTCACTAATTAATCGAAAGGAACTTCGTTCCATGCGGGTGTCCCTTGACACCTCTGAAGTTTTTTTGAACTTACGGATTACTTCGTTCTTTATACGTACTACTGTTATAAATGTGCTACCTAATGAAGTTTTTTGTTACGTTATTGTGCTCAACAAATAAAAGAGAGAGATGTATTATACTTACAGGATTATACCACCAGGCAGGCTGTTAGAAATTTTATTTTAAGTCCACAGGAAAGCGTGAGAGAAAAAACAGCGAAGTCGTTAGTTGATTAAAACTTTTTTATTATAAAACAATATAAAGTTCAGTTTTCTTAAGAAGATTTGTGTAATTTTTTTTCGTTGAGTTATCAAAACGAGGTCTAGTTTTGTTATGATATAAAAATAAAAAAAAACATTGTCGTTTCCTGACTTAATTTGATACCTTAACCAAATTTAAATACTATTTCATAACATCAAACAAATAAAAAATAGTTCGCAAGAAAGGATATTTAATGTGGACATTATTAAGACCCCGAAACATCGAAATTAATATAATTGCGAACGACTGAGAATCTATGGCGAATAAAATGAACATGGCCGTCCGCTCCCGCGCACCAAGAGGCCGGCCAGTGTTGCCAGCGCGGCCGACACTACCTCCCCAACGACTAAAGTAAAACGCTCTGCATGCAGAACGAAAAGGTAGGATAGAAACTTTGAAAGCTTTTCTTAAAACAAAAGTAATACACAATAGGCACAACAAGCTTTATTATTATAGTTTGAGCTGTTTATTCATCAGTTCTTGTTCTAAAATGCTCATTCAAAAATGAAACCAATCAGAAATGAATTTCGTAAAATTATAAGGTTGTCGTTTTGATGTTAACTTTTGTGATTTGTTTATGGATTTTTTTTTGGATGACTTCCGTTTCCCCTGCAAAGCAAAAAAATTAAAAACATTGTTAATAAAATATGACAGTATTAGTATCATTCCAGGCAAGCTGCTGTTAGTAAAATGAAGAAAATATAACAGTTAATATGAGAGTACACAAAGAATATTCCTTATTAGTTTAGACGGTACATCCTAAATAGACCAAAAAGAGGTCACGGGCAACACAACGTGAATTTCATCTTCCATCTTGATGCATGAAGTTGAGATTTAGAGTATATTCGCATTCTATTGCCCTATAACGTTTCGCGGCAGATATAGTCCGGAAGACGGTACCACCAGCACTTACCGTGATCTTAGTTTGGCCCAGAGCCGGCGGCACGTCCAAGTCCTTAGGGATGTAAACGTGCCCGAAGTTGTGTCTGTACTCGACGCACCACACGGCGAGCCAGTCCACGTCGTAGGCCGTCAGCTTCGCCGGCAGCTGTATCTCTATGTCCTCACCTTGGTAGCCGCGGAGGGGATTCAATGAACCCATCTCGTTTGGCACCTGAAATTTATGATGAAATTCAAAACCTACAAAAGGACTATTAACGATTAATTATGGGTTAAAACGCCCTTGTTAGCGTGGATGCGCAGGTCAATCTCTCAGGATTTTTATTACACAATGTTATTCCTTCACCGTGGAAGTCAATCGTGAACATTTGTTGAGTACGTATTTCATTAAAAAAATTGGTACCCGCCTGCGGGATTCGAACACCGGTGCATCGCTTCAACACGAATGCACCGGACGTCTTATCCTTTAGGCGACGACGACTTTGTTGTTGAACTATAGTGGTTTGAGCAATTTTAATTGGCTTCGAAGGAGGATTATGAAAAAATACTACTGTTGCCTATAGATGCGTTAAGACGTCTAAAGCTAAATAATCTCCTTAAATTCCCTTTTAATGAACACTTATGTCTTAGTATTCGGGTGTAGCGATAGGTATCATAGATAACAAGATATGTTACGGATGTCTGTCTGGGTGGATGTCTGAATCGCACTACCAACATTTTCAAGATAAATTCGTATTTAGGTATCTTGTTTATGAAGAAAACATTCGGACCATCGCTCTATGTGCAAGTTCATCAGCTCGATATAAAATCACTCCTATGTCGATTAGTTCAAAATGAGAATACTAAGAAGAAGAATGTGGATAATTACTACCTTGGTACCAAAAGGGTTAGGTTCAGATCCGTTCCCGACCCAGAAGTAGGCGTCAGGTCCGGCTCCGTCGTAGTGCAAGTTCGGTATGTAGAATGTCTTAGCGTCCAAGACGCTGATGTTGCCGGACCGCAGACCATGGGCGAGACGCTTGAATTCCGGAAGCACCCTTGGCCTCGGAGGATCTAAGCCGGCTGGGATGAATACATCTCCAAAGTTTACCTGAAAGGGAGATAATTGTAAACCTGTAATCGACGCTGTTTTTTTTGCTTAAGTTAAATTACGCCAAACTCCAGTTTATGATACAACACAAGATATTTGACAAATGCCAGAATCTCGCTTACGACATTTTCAAGGTAAGCTTGCATATATACAAGTTCCGAACATCAACACTAAGACCGTCGGTCTACCGAGCAATATCACCCCCTCGGTGGAAGATCTTCCTTTCGTCGTTATATCTGCAACTGGTTTGGTTGTTCTACAACGTATTTTCAGTTCATATATTCCAATTCAACCAGAAAATGATCTCGACACATGATCTCGACTACCTCGAGCGACTACTACTAGCTTTATCCTTTCACTAGTGTCCAGCGACCATTTGCCATTTGCAGGTCTAAGCTTCATAGAGGTTTCATGTTTGAGGAATGAAATCTAACAATCAGATTTGATTTCTATGTCAGTCTGGCCTTTATATTTAAATGTAACTAATGCTTCGATCTTATATCGAAAATCCTCATTGTATTGCCTCGCGGTTCTGTTTTAAAAGAAAACTTTTTCTTTTTCGAATCCGTGTGTAAATATACAAAACATTTTAATGGATCTAGGCTTACCGAGTTTTCAAAAACACGAATAGCCTATTAATAAAAGTAATTGAAATCTGAAATTTAATTGAAATGAGTTGTACCTAATTATGTATTGTGAATACGCGGATGTCATCAGAATCAGCGTTGCGTATTTTGATTTAAATTTCGCGTTCCGCCGGAGCTTATTGAAACTGAGCTCGTAAATGAGACTGTTGTTCGCAATTAATACGAGTATAGATCATCGAAATATTACTAACTTACTTGAGCGTTATTTATAGAAATATCATGTCCGTATAATTTGGGCTTCCACGTTCTAACAAATAAAATTGTGGTGTAAATTTGTGATTTCTTTTTTTTTTAAACTGTATTTATACAAAATATTAAAGATATTGTGATAGCGTTCGAAAATACTGCGCAATTGATTCCGAAATCGAATGGGCATGGCAAAAATTAACTCTTGAAACTCACTGTTGATAGTAAACACAGTAAGTGGGTCCGAAATGACGAATTATTTGCGATTAAAAAAATTTGTCATTGGCTTGTTGTTAAAAACTGGCCAAGCACAGATACTCATAAAAGTATATATTGAAATGCTAATATATTCAATTAGAAAACTTAGGAATTTTAAACAGCCGGTAACCCCGTTGCTTATTGTGCAAAGCGAAAATGTCAAAATTTGGCGGGAACACGATACGCGTGCGCGCCAAATCGCTCGATATTCTATTTCTTTGAACGATTCCTTTATTAGTTAGGTGCATGTTTTATACTTTAATATAAACATTATACTTTAAAATAGAAATAAACATGAATACAATTATCTTGAGACTCGTCCTTAGAATAACTTACTAGATTGTATGTTTACTAAAATACACACAACGATCAATGGTTGATCGAAAATTAAAATTTATAACAAACATTTTATGGAAGCATTTCGTGTATGAAACCTATTAAGACTAATAACCATTCAGTCGCAGTCATGTGCAGGTGCAGACACATTAAGGTACAATCTGTCATTGCTTCGAAACAAATCTCTGCCTTATTTGAAAATCCATCGATATTATTAGCAACATGAATAACCTAGATTTTGATGTTAAATTGAATCCGCGACTCGGTAAAGTCTTTATAAAAGAAGGAAGGGAGAATTATAAATCAGATATTTTCTTTTCTACAATCAATTCTTCAATACCTTCTGACGCGGACGGGACCTTGCGAATTCTTAATTCATACAGATAATCAAACAGACGTAAGAAAAATCAGCTAAATTGGGAGATCGTATTATTCGCATGCATAAGTTTTTATAAACAGTTAAACATTATTTGCGTTTATATAAGAAAACTAGCTGACTTTGTAGTGCCTCAATCGATAAATAAAAGACCTAAACTTTTGTATAAAATAAACTTAAAACAAACAAAAGGAATCCGTCCGACGGGGGACACATCAACGGAAAAACAAAATTGTTTTATTTAATTCCGAGCATTTTCATATTTATCTACCTTTTAAACCTTCTCTGGACAAATAATTCAAGACCAAAATTAGCCAAATCGGTCCAGCCGTTCTCGAATTTTAGCGAGACTAACGAACAGCAATTCATTTTATATAGATTTTGACCTGAAAGAATAAAACTGAAATATGTTGATAAGGTTGAAGTAAATCGATTACTCACAGTAAACCGTCTACACCACACACTGATCCATTTGATGTCCCTTAACCGTTTTCCCGCTGGCAGCTTTAACAGAATATCGGTGTTGCTATGAGCGCTTAATATCGGAGGATCCCTGAAATAACAGTAAATTATTACAATAACATTTTTTTATTGCTTAGATGGGTGGTCGAGCTCACCTGATGTTAATCTACAACGTACAATTACGGCTTCACGGCAGAAATAGACAGAGTGATGGTACGTAGCCGTGCGGACTCACAAGACGTCCTGCCACCAGTAATTACGCAAATTATAATTTTGCGGGTTAAATTTTTATTACACGATGTTATTCTTTCACCGTGGAAGTCAATCGTGAACATTTGTTAAGTACGTATTTCATTAGAAAAATTGGTACCCGCCTGCGGGATTCGAACACCGGTGCATAGCTACACACGAATGCACCGAACGACTTATCCTTTAGGCCACGACGACTACTAAAATTTATGAAACTTAAAATGTAATGTATAATTCTATAATTCTGTTACTATACCCAATTTATCTTTTGAATCGGCATGGGAACTCATTTTTATCGCTTGACAAAACAACTTATGAATCCTATGCATTAACAATTAGGTATAAACACAGCCAATCAACGAAAACAAAATTTAAAAATGTTCAGAAACAAGGATGTAATTACCGTATTCATTTTAAACTGGACGCAGGGCACGCTGTTGTTTACTTTAGACCTCGAAGTTCGATTTAAATTCTCAACTAATTTTTACGTTGCGAGACAAGGATAGAACATCTCTGAAGGACTACGAAAACTTGAAATGCTGATATCAGATATTATTATGTATAAGAGGACTTTGTTAGCCGATTTCATTCATTATTTCAACATAGGTACGATTTATATTTCACTTCTCAGTAAGACTTTGGTTTACGACTAGCCGTAGAATATTTATTTATAGCCCGATAAATAGAAGAGTATCCAGTCCACTGGGAGTTTGGTGGTGATCGAAGCCTTTGGGCATGATTTTTTTATTGCTTAGATGGTTGGACGAGCTCACAGCCCACCTGGTGTTAAGGGGTTACTGGAGTCCATAGACATCTAGAACGTAAATGTGCCACCCACCTTGAGATATAAGTTCTAAGGTCTCAGTATAGTACAACGGCTGCCCCACCCTTCAAACCGAAACGCATTACTGCTTCACGGCAGAAATAGGCAGAGTGGTAGCACCCACCCGCGCGGACTCACAAGAGGTCCTACCACCAGTAATTACGCAAATTATAATTTTGCGGGTTTGACAATGCGAATGTCGTTTCATCTTGAGACGTGTGAGGTCGAAGTGTCAAACTTGTAACGGTGATCACCACGACATGATCCACCTGGGGGTTCAATAAAAAATCGGAATCTCTCTGTCCCATTTGAACCCACGTGGATTTTGTCTTGAATCTTGTGACATGAAGCTCGATCTCTCGATTGGATTACAAATATCCTATTTAACCAAACGAGTCGCAGTTTTACTCATGTTTACTATTCGAAGTTCCTTCTTTAAGCAAATATAAATAAACATCTTGTACTTTCTTAAATTTTCACTAGTCGTTAAATATAATTAAAATGAAAAATGATTTCAACGTCGCAGTCCGTAACCATGAAAACTGAATACTTTATTTGAAATCTCAGAAATCATTTAAATAATAATCGCGACATGAAACCATAGATGTAGTTTTTAGTTTTTACATTTTTGTGGCTTTACTTCTTTGATCTGAGCGAACACGTATTATTTATCCGTCTAGATACTTAATTGATGTTGAAGCTTCTGGGAATTTTTTTATCGTGTTAATAATGTTTTTTTTTTCCTTGAGAACTTTTCCCGTAAACATTGAAAATAATGATGTCTTTTCTAATAGAGAATTTGAATAACAAACAACGTATTTCGTTCGTAATGAACGTAATTGCTCAGAGGGGAGTTCCGTAATAGCGGCCTCGAACCGAGGGGAGTTGCTCGTAATTACTGTTTCAAATGTCAATGGAATATTAATTTTAAATGACTTTAATATCCTTTCGTTGAACTGGGCAGTTCGTGAGTTAATATCATCGAGAGTCTTTGACCGGTACTCATTTAAAAGCCGCTTCCATTCTTCAGATGGTGCACGGACAAGATTTTTCAAATCAACAGCCATTTGTACAGATTTTAACAAAAATTACTTGATTTTTGATTGGCGTGACCTTTTTTGAGTCAGTAGTAGTCTGAGATTAGAGCATTAAGGTTGCATACGCACTTTTTCTAAATTTTGAAATCATAATATATTTAAAATTGGTTCTAATGTATCAGAGATATTTAAAAGACGCTTCCTATTGAAGATAAGGTTTTCTTAAAAACTTACTTTTCCAAAATAAGTTTTTAAGAAAATCACAAGAAATAAACAACAGTATTAACTACATAGGTACGTATAAACGCGCTCATTGAAAATAACGTCGATATATAAAGTATCAAAGGCAAAGGTCAACGACGCTGGAGATCTGAATCTACAACGCGCTCCTGGAAACTGGTCTTATAAGCTAATATTAGATTTAACACGTTCATTATAATTAATGGTCGGAAATAATTTATCATTCAAGATCTTGTCCCGTAAACACACTGGTATTACTAAAAGCTTTAAAGTAAAAAAAAAAGCTTGAAATCTTTAAGTTCGAGGCCAGGTGTGAAGCAAGTAAAAGAATAATGAATCGTGTCACCGCTATATCGTCGCTGTCAAACCAAAATCTGCTATGTGCAAAAACTCTATTTTGAATTAACGAGTAAAAACATTTTCTTATAAAAGTTTATATGAAGGTGAATTTTTAAGAACTATATCAAACAAAAGCTATAGATGAATATTAAAGCTATAGACACATAACAGTTTTTTTTATACGGTAGATAGGGCTGTGAACTATACGAAAAGGTAAAAAAGTAAAAATCTCAAAAAGTGCACATAGCAGATTTTAGTTTGACAACGACGATATGCTAGCTTTGGGTATGTGAACATGTAATGCGCCCGTCAACTAACTGGCAAGAAGCAGTTAGATACTAAGCTAGCTTTCAATTATTTCACGTAATCATTTTGTTTCTGACAGACAACTATGTACTTACTAGCGACGTGCCTTAAAATGTTTTTTTTTTATGATTGAGAGTTTTCTGGTGGCCCGGAGGCCTTTCCAGTTTCACAAGGACAGGTGGGCGAACAAGGGGCTAGCCAGGCCTTAAAATGTCTGAAAAACTGGCTTCAGTGCTTTAACAAGAGCACCCGTTCTTGGCCTCGAGACAAATTGGCACTTAGATAAGGTTCCTTAAAAAGTACTTACCTTGACGAGTAATCTTCTGGGTATGGCACTAGAGTTCCTTCAGGAGACGGCTGCGGTGAATCTCCCACCCAGAAATATGCGTCAGGGCCCGTCCCATCATATGCGAACCCCTTGATGAAGACTGTGCTCTCGTCTACTGCGTACACGGTGCCTCGAATCCCGTGCGCGTATTGCGTTAGATGACCTATAAGCCTTCCGTAGTACGGTTCTGGTCTTCGGCTAGTCACTACACCTGGAACAATAAATATTGTTTGTTGTCATCATTTTAGAATAGTTGTGATAGCTTTTAAAATTAACATTATTATTTATTGTCATTAATCAAATCTTCTTCTTCTTCTCTGTCGTTTCCTCATTACTGAGGGTCGTGACCACCTTGGTCCAGTTTTTGCACCAGCTTCCTCCAATGCTGATGAATGAACCTCCTCCAATGAACTGTTATGTATAGATATTAAGTCACATTATAAAAGGGCAGGTAGTTGCAAAAATAAATCAGTCTGCTTTGGAATTCCGACTTTCATTTGTAATACACAACAACTGGCGACGAGGATAATCATTTAAAAACATTTTCGACGCGTGTTTTCTCTTAAATTGTAATAATGCCGATTGGGAAAGTTGAAAGTTTTGATATGGGANTAATCATACGATATTTGTTTCCTGTGAACACTCACTTTTGAAATTGCCTGTTTTTACTGTCATGTGTAAGCAATATCATGTAACGCGTTGTTTCAACCATGTTCTCTCATTTATTCAGCATTCGGGAATTTGTATTCCATTAATTTAAGAGGAGGACAATGTTATGTATAGATATTAAGTCACATTATAAAAGGGCAGGTAGTTGCAAATACGAATCAGTCTGCTTTGGAATTCCGACTTTCATTTGTAATACACAACATGAACATTATTATTTATTGTCATTAATCAAATCAAATCAAATCAAAAAAATTTTTATTCAACATAAATGAAAGTACATACTTGTTGAACGTCAAAAGAACTACAATAATAATATCAATAAATAATAATGTTAATGGGAGTCCAACACTCATATAATATTAGCCTATCCATTAAGTACATGTATTTTCTACATGGATACCAAGTTTCAAGTCAGTCGGATGCATGGTTCAGTAGTTATAACGGAACATTCGTAAAAACCACTGTAGATTTATATATTAGTATAGATTGGTGATAAAACTAAATACGACCAGGACACAACAGTGCTCATCAAGCCACAGTCGGTTATTGGTTAACGTAGGCCTCTCTCAGTTGATACGCCCGAGCTTAATCTTTGGCTCTCCTTATCCCTATTCTATCCATTTCGGACACAAAAAGTCGGACAAATAAGCCAAATTCGAAAATGTCATTTGGTCATAATAAGTGTTACTTATGCCCGGAGATATCGTGTAACGAATAAAGTTACGATTTTACAATCCATTACTGCATAGTGGATTGCAAATCGCAAATTCACTTGCACACAATTTAACTGATCCAATCTCAGTTTCACATAATATTATTTGACGCAAGCATCTCTGCTTGCACAGACTCTCGTCTGTTAGCTAACGTTTTTACGTGGGAGCTATTTTTCCTAAAACATAGGCTCATCATCGCAGCGCGTGGACAAGTAGGCAATACTCACATTTTTGCAATGGCTTTATAAAAGAAAACGAGCTTTTGGTTCAGCGGGTGCAAAGACATGGGGATGAGGATCTAGTAATTTTGAACTAATATAATAATTAATCATTACGGGCAAACCCCTTCGGCCATTTGGCCACGATTCCCTATACCTTTTTTATGTATGATGCCCTGGTGTTTGTTTTCCTACCTAAACTGATGGCCTTGAGAGACCATTTCAGCGTAACCCTAACAAGTAGGTGAGGTCACGGGGCTCAAACCTGACGACTGCTAACACTAACTCTAGCAAGAGAAGTGCCTCGCAGAATCTACCACCGAATCGGAAACGCGACCCACTGAGAAGATCCGGTGAGAAACTCAGTGGGCTGTCTGTGGGTTGATTTACTCGCCGAGCCCTTCGTCGCAAGCGACGGGTTCGACGTGAACGATGACCTGGGATGCCCTGGAAATTGAGACTGATATATACCTGCACAAACAAACCCGACTATCACACTCATATTTGCACAAAGCTCGGATCGGCAATGAGGGGCGCTAGTCACCGAGTGAGTAAAATTTAAAAGATCTGAGTATATTATTGTTCTCTGACTTTACTGAAGATCTATAGTTTTTCCGGCTATGAATCAAGAGATAGGGGTGTACAGCTCCGGACTCTTCGACTAGTGCCCATATTCAATAGAATGTTTGGTGATACGCTCCTACCTAACTAACATAATTTATTCTTCCTGTAATTTATATATTGGTACCACCGTCCTATCTAGTTTTAAAGAGGGGAACATTCATGATACCCAGATTCCAAGCTGTGGTTGAACGGCCAAGTACTTAACAAAAGGTAGATCAACACAAGGTAGATCAACACGAATTAAAAATTAAGGCCCAAACCACAATCAACATATGATTAGACTAAATGTTTTAATTGTGTGGCTGCATAGATCGAGTCTTCAATCACCATTAAGGTACTTCAGTACTGTGACAGATTGAGGGAAAATACTTGCTAATGATTACGAATGAATGAATACGACATTTTCTTCCGTATGACCCGTGTATTTACCACATTTACAATATTAAATTAAGCAAAACTAGAAGGCTACAACCGATTAGTTTCACATATATTTGACAAGTCTTTTTTTTTTGGAGTTTATGGCCTGGTATCTAGGCCTTACCTTTAGGCCTCTAGGTAACTTTAGGCCAGACAAGTCTTTTTTCTTAAGACCGTGTTGCCAGACTAAGATCTCAAAAGCTACGTTCCGTGATAACTACCTTCTAAAGACTAGTTTGTGATTTCTTTGTGTGCAAGACGTGATATTGTTAATTGGGGCTCGTGATTTGCCTCAAATTGTATACGGTAGGTATGTACCAGATAATTATGTTTTATTTTGCAATATAATTCGTAAGGTGTCCCCAAACTTGTATAATTAGACCCCCATCGCTTAGTGCCAGTACGCCGTATGATCGTTATCGTTTCGTCCGGTCTGTATTTATCAAATGTTCTTAACGGGACCCATTTACGGATATTTCGACTGACACCCTAGTTACGGAGGGTTATAAGCGAAGGGCACGTAGGGTTGCTGATGTTAAAATTGTTGTTTTTAGTGACTACTGCGTATAATCCGAACAGGCCAATGTTTGAGTTTGAGGTTTTCAGTAGTGACTAATGCTTGTAATCCGAACAGGCCAAGGTTTCAGTTTGAGCATTTTGTCTTCAGTATGGTTTTTATTCAAGTTACACACTCGGTGTGGACCTAGAAGTGCTCTAGGTGTGGACCTAGAAATGAAACCCGCAAAAATTATAATTTGTTAATATATTGGTGGTAGGATATCTTGTGAATTTGCACAGATAGGGACCACCAACCCGTCTGTCTCAGCCGTGAAGCAGTAATGCGTATCGATTTGAAGGGCGGGGCAGTCGTACTATGAAACTGACATTTAAGCCTCAAGCCTCAAGGCGGGTGGCGGTTTTTATTGTTAATGTCTATGTGCTCCAGTTAGCACCTAACATAATGTGGGACTTGCGCTCATCCGCCGAACAAGTTAAAAAATCAGTAACCGCTTAAAATCAGATGGGTCAAAAGTTCGTTTGACCATCTTAATTAAAAAAAATATACAATAACTTAGAAGGCAATGAAACTTGTTTAAATTTATAAGATTAACCTCCAAATGTACTCAGAAGAAACGTATTTTATTTTTCATTAAAAATTAATCCTTCAGTCGACTGAGCCAACCCTAGAGTCTTCTGTTTCACCGCCACGGAGGCAGAGGGCGCCCCTTGAATACGCACTCTTAATACAGTTTTGTCTCGGTATTTCGATAGTCATTTATTCCTAAATTTCCCGCTTTTTCCGTTATTTCATTCGCTTACGACATGATTGCATTGATGCTTGTAAGAATGTCGAAAAATTCTTTGTAGTATATTTTAGGTTTTAGGTAGATTTACAAGCTGAAACTTAAAGATGCTTAGCAGCAAATACTAGTAGTAGCATAGTGTTTCGTCACAGCCCGCCTACAAATTACTTATGCAGGTCAAGATCCTCGTAAAGTTATTGGTCTTTTTAAACGAGTATTGGAAATAAAAAAATATTATTTTCTTAGTACATAGTAGGAACACTAAGAATAACTTTATAAATTTCATTTTTAAAGAGATTCAAATAGTGAATGTTTGAATCATTGAATGTTGGAAATATTATGTCGCAAGTGTTAGAGGTGTAGCGTGAAAAGTGTTCAGTAGTGTTCAAACTCGACAGCCTGACAGTAATGTTACAAGATTGTTGTTACAAGATTGCGTTCACACTCACGAGAGTGGCACGGCAGTCGTCTGCTCGTCCACACATACAGAGCAATAAAAAACATTTAATACATTTATTTGATTTTATTGTTTACTAGCAACCCGCCCTCGCTTCGCTTCGGAATCATTAAATTTTATTATTGATGATAGCTGAGTCCCGCGATGCTACCCGCGGTTATTGTCGAACCGCGAGGGACGCCGCGGGGCGAAGCCAGTCTAAAAAAGTAGCGTAACTTAATCCTTTTAACATCAGTTGCCTATCAGTGAAAGTCTCGTCAAAATCAAACAGACAGACAAAAATTGTAAAAAAATATATTTTGGTGTATGTATCGTATATATATCATACGCATGTAGTAAAAAGCGGTTATTTCAATATTAAAAACAGACACACAGACACATCTTATTTATATTATGTATAGATTTTATTAACGCTTTGAAAAATAAAACAGGAAATAGGAAGTAGGCTCCATACCTAAAGAAAACAGGAAGAACCTAATTATTCTGTTTTGAAAATACAAACACGTTTTACCTTAAATGTTTTTATTGAGCCACTTTTTTGTACTTTATGTGGAATTATGTAATTGATCTGACGGACAGGACGAAGGGTGCCCATAGACACAGCCCAGTTTCTCGCCGGATCTTCTCAGTAGGTCACGATTCCGATCCGGTAGTAAATTCAGCGAAGCACTGCTCTTGCTAGGACTAGCTAGCTAAGACTAGTGTTAGCAATTCTCTTAGGTTGAGTCGTGAGCTCGCTCACCAGTTCGCGCGAAGTTGAAATAGGCCCTTGGGCTACAAACGATTAGGTAGGCAAAAAAGGGGTATTA